AAAAAATATCACTAACGAGAGATCTAAAATGTAGCATCTTATGGACACGTATGGAAAGTGCAAAAATATCTATGATATACGAGGAAAGGAACTTTATGCGCTATTTAGTGCATTGCGTTATGCTTCCGGTTTCGGAGCAGGCGAACAAATTCGGACGAGGAAGCGGACAATGCTCGGGATGATGATCAGACGCGGAGGTCGGCGGACAGGCCAATGAGACCATTAACGAGCGACAACAACGTCAAATGAAAAGGTCCTTGTGGAACGACACTTTTCCGTGGACATGCAGCGATAATTGATGGTTTAATAACTACAAATCGTTTCAGTGGACACGTATGGTAATACAGTAATACACAGTAATCGCCGAAGGTAGTTTGTTCGTGAGCAAATTAATTACATAATTGACAGACGACTCGAATCTAAGGACAATCAATGTCTATTATATCACTCAATTATCGCAATTGGTAATCGCAAATAGCTATGAAAAATCGCTCTCCGAATTCGCAATAATTGCAAATGTGTCAAGAGCAAAATGATGTAACAGTTTCCGTTATGTCAAACAAGCATTGAAATTATCTCTTTCATAAATAGTAGTAATTCAAGAATATCAATTGTGATAAAAAAAATAGATATTAAGAAATTGACTGAAGTATCTGACTAAAAGAAATGTTTTATTTCGTGTAAAAATATCTTGATTATATACATATATTTCCAATATATTAATTTTATAAATTGCAAGAGATAAATTTTCAAACATTTGTTATGCTTTACATATAGTCTTCTATTAACACTTCATGAAACTTTTGCATGTTTGCATTTTTTCGAATATTTGATAACAATAATTTCCTGAAAAGTCATGTTTAACTCACGAGTAGTCTCGGTTTGCATTTTTGATGTCGCATTAAAAAAAATATTTTACTTTTCGCGAGTAAAAACTGATGAATAAAACAAGTCGAAAGTGGCTTTAACAGCATAAAAAATAGCAAGATACTTTGATATTTTATTAATATAGAAATGAAAAAACAACACTCGACTTGTCATTAAGTAAGCATGTCAATTAACCCCTTGGCTGTTAAACAAAAAAAAGAAAAAAATACAAAACGGAATCAACGGCTTCACAAATTTTTATGCAAATTGAGTTGTATTTTGAATTTTTTTCAATATAATTATTGAATTTGCTATTTTAAATTCTTGAATTTTTATTTTGAATTTGAAATTAGCGGTTTAAAAAAACTTTTAAATTTAAATTTTTATGCAAATTGAACAACGTTTTACATTTTCGGTGCCCTATATTGTATCCACCACTTTGAATTTCGCAATTTTTATTTTAGATTTGAATTCAGCGACCTTAAAAACATAAAGATATAATATCCCATTCTGCTCTGGTATATGTAATATTTTTTTGAATGTGCGGATATTTTTGTCATGTGCACTTTTGGTCAATTTTATTTTTGCGAATATTTCCGTCATTGACAGAGGGAGTTAAATATGCGTATATATACTCGTTCGCCTCCTAATAATAATCTTATTTTGACAAAAAAATTTGTCATTACAATTAAAATCGAGAATTTTGTTATATTTCATATAAATAGCAATATATTGTATTCAAATAATCACTAATTTTCTTGGCAGATACATTATTTATGCGATTAATACCAGAACCGTGGTAATTAATAACAAAACCATTGTTAAATAATTTATCTTTCCTGAATAGTCGCAGCATGTCAATATACTAATTAATCGAATAATATTTCCATGAGGGAATTAATAAATAACGAATAAACTCCAATACGTAAATAGTTATCTGGTAAATATACGTGTATCAATAATATTTATTTTTAAGACTGAGCATTCGAGGAGAAACAGCGTGAAAATTAGAACGACGATAAAAATAATAAAATCTGATATACACGTACGATAGGTAAGATTAATAGACAATGACTCACGAAATGATAATTCCAAGGTAATTATCACTCCATGAATCAGGACTGTGTTTACCTATTGGAACATAATTTTACACGTGTATAATTTAAGTAGCATATTTAATAAATCTTATAAAACCAATAGTAACATTAGTTTTATTAGCCCTAAAAAGCGGATATGTTAATAATTTTTATTAATACGGAGTCACGAGAAACAGACATATTTAAGATTGGTTTATATGATAGCTTCGAAAAATAGTACTGATTGAAAGCAGTGGGGTTGATTTAACGTTGTCAATAGTCGAGACTATGTTGTCGTCACATTTAATTTTTCCGTCTCCATTATACGTGCGCTGACGTAGCACCAATTGAAGTGAACAAAACTCTCGGTACAAATATGAAGCAGCCTTAAATAGCTACTGCATTTTCGAGGGAAGAAAGAACGGATATTTGCGCGTAGAGAGAATAGTGCGAGAAAGATTGATGTGGCACACTGTGCCAATTTCGAATAACGCTGATGTAGAAGATAGTTCTTGTGATCAGAAAGTTCTTATTTTCTTATAACTTTATACATAACAAAACAAGTAACGAAATAAAAATAATAATTTTAGTGCATTGCATGTCAGAGTTTATGTGCGTAAAATAAGACGCAAACAACATTACAATAAATTTATATATATAGAAACTTATATACATATATGTATATGTATACAGAAACTTTCTTTAAAATTTACGAATCATTATTACGAAGTCAAATTTTATAATTTTGTAATTTGTAAGATGTTATAATTTTTTAAATTATTCTATACTCATACATATTCACTTTTAATTATTCTAACAACACATGCATTTTTCATAGCTACAAAGCATGCCATGCATCGAAAAGAATTCGCTGATCGCAGGCATTACACGTCAAAGCGCATTGACGCGGCTCGTTGAATCTTTCGTAATATTTCGTATTACGTAAATCATTTACATGGAAGAGACAACTCATCTGAATCAATTTTATAAAGCAGCACGTGTAAATAAGTCAAGAAAAATGTAATTTTATCTTGAGATGAAAGCCACAAAATAGAGATTTTGTCGATGAAAGAGGAACGGATGGAAAAAGCAATCGATTATCACTCTAAATATCAAATGGAACTTTTATGCACTTTTAAAGCATAAGAGAGGTCAAAGGTCGGTTATCCATGAATAAACTTACTTTCTATAACCTCGTTCTTTTTCAACTTCTCTGAAATAACTCTTAACCTGCGTCAGTAGGTAATTTTTGCGCTGAGTCATATTATTTTCTAATGAAGAAATATTTGCATTTTAATACGTATTCGTATGCATTCTCTGTACTTCAGATTCCAATTATCTTTCTGATTACTTGTTTGTGACAATGGCAGAAGTATATTTTTCATAATTTTAAAATTTATCACCATGTAAGTTTATTTTCGGTTCACATTTTCCAAAAATTTTTCAAAAATAATTTTTTGTAAATAATATCTTTTGTAAAATTCTTGTATCCAATTTTTTACTTTTATTTTTTTTAATAATATGATTTACTGAAATATATTAAGATTTATATGTATTAATCCTTGATTATCGACACAAATAAAAATTATTGCATAACACCGTTGGTATTTATCTCCGCATATATTTCCCCGCGCACTATATGATATATAGATTCAGATAGTGCAAATGCAATTGCAAGATGAATTTGCATGTCACATGTCGATTATCAATTCCGTCTCGATGAGCTGATATTTTTTCCAGGTTCGCTGCTCCGATAACGATAATCATTGTGTGTAGAACCGAATACATGTAAACGTTGATAAGAGAACCCATGTGACGTTAACTTGGGTCAAAGTGCGGGTCAGCACGTGATCAACGGTTAGATATTGCGAAATAATTGTTCTTCCATGATTTTTATAAACGAATTGAGCGCATACGTGTGAAAAAGAAGATTCGTTTAAACGGCCGACTTTATTCACATTTCATGTCGCAAGGTGAATCTAATTCAAGGATACCGCACTGGAGTTAAATGTGTTTCGTGCAATGCATGATTGCATGATTAGTACAGTCGATTATAAGTTAGTTGGTCGATTATTCAATTTTTAGACATCAGACGTGCCTTGGATGTCAATTATACATTTAAATAGCTTGACGCAAACTATGTGTGTGTAGTGCAAATATTTTATTTGTATAAACTATTTCTTTATTATTCTCTATATTACATTTATTGCTATTTATTATATTAATATGAGTGTCAGTATATAATGTCAATTAAAATATCTATATTTTTGCATCGTGTAAGTAGAATTTTTTAAACATCTTAAAGAAAAATGTTATTAATTGTCAGTGTTTAATGATCGGCCTGACTGGCAATATATTAAAAATTATAACAAAATTATTAATTGTAATAAAAAAAAACATTGTTTTTTCATAAAACACTATTAATATTTTTAAATATCGAATATCGATAAATATTTTTCCTTTAAGTTAAAAAATCTTTCTAGGAAATTTTATTGATGGGTATCAAAGCACATTGAAATTGGCCGGCACACTTTACTCATGATCATCATCGATAGCGCGGTTTCAGCTTCTCTGTTTTTACAGCGATTGCTCGAAAAGTCGACGTCGAGTGCATCGAGAATCTTGAAGAAACAATCCGCGATCCAATATAAATACGATAGAGAGATACGAGCGCAAATTTTGTTACCAACATTTGTAGCTCCCTCAGCTTGCCAGAATCGATCAATCTGATAGCCTTAATCATCATCGCGGCGATTCAAATAATCTGAATAGCTAATACGTTATTCATACAATGAGATTTGTCACCAGATAAAAATAATCAATCAGTACGCGTGTATATTAATTTAATTATTTATTAATAAGTTCGATTGAGAATATAAATTAGTAATAACAAACTTTCGCAGCAACACCGGCGTTGCTATCGTCGGTAACTATTTATCATAATATAAAAAAAAGTATAATAAAATACAACGTGAAAGGAATAAAATCTCCAAATTAACAAATTAATTGCAATAAGGGTAGAACTGTGCCATGTGAGTATTATTTTAAAGACCCTACTTGTCCAATTGCATGTCTTCTCGAAGCTCCACTGGTGATTGCACCTGAAGAGGCCCGTCAGCGCGGCGATGAGCACGATATGAATGCACTTTTAGCCACAATGTCAGACGGTGGTCCTCATTGTCGGAGTCAACCCCGCTTTACGAATAAATACAGACACGCGTGGACAGACGAGAATGTGTACTTGAATTATTCCAATATCCCTCTCTCTCTCTCTATTAGGTTTGCTCACATATACACATGTATGCACACGTGCACACGTTGCACTACCTACGTACGCACGTCTGCGCACCGCGGTGTATGCCGGAGGACTGTTTACCATCGGCTGACAGCCAGATGATAGCTTCCGATCGCACTCTCCTCGGTGCCAGCGACGACCAGCAATCGGCCAGTCGCAGCAGCAACCAGTCGGTGGCTGGCAGCAGCGCGGAGACAGTCATCCGGTGATTCTGATAAGGAAACTCCGCCCAGATAGTGCCGAGATATGCTCGCGAATCCGGTCAGGCTGTCAGGGAGGGGTATTATTCTGTCATTTCGAAATCGTTGACGATGTTGTCAGGTCATCCGAAGACCAGTCCGCAGTTTCAAAGAAGTTACACGCCATACACGTAGTATTCTCGCTGATATTCCCACATGTAGAGGGATATAGGAAAAACGAATCTTCTGTTAGTGAAGGTGTATCGGTGATCATATACGTTCCGAATTTCTCGGCGGAGCGGTGCTTTATTTGATTGCTGAATCGATTTACAATCTACAAAGTTAATTGTTTAGTTTTATATTGCATGTTACAGGACGACGTGCGCAATATTTGAAAAGAAAAAAGAGAGAGAAAGAGAGAGAGAGAGAAATAAAGAGAGATAAAAGCTCGATTGAACATGACGATTAAATCATATTTATCTTTGCCAAATTTATAATAATCCTATTCAATTTTAATCCTGTTCAATTATCGATGCTCTGAAATTAAGCGACGTGAAGTGGATAATATTATTTCACGATGTGTAAACGTTTTGATCATTGCGCCGCACCACAGGCGTGGCTCTTCAAATAAGACGGATTTATTTGGAAAACAGCGACTCTTGATAACCCATCGGCTTTCTTTTTATCTTATTTTTGCTGAAGTTTATTATTATAAAAATGTTTATATATTTCAAAGAGCTGTTAGTATTATATATATAAAATAAATTTAGATATGATTTATGGAACATAAATAAAAATCTTGCAGACATGATATATGATAAAATGATAAGAGATAAAGTAAACTCAATATATTGGCATTTGTAAAATTCCATTATCTGTGCGATATCGAGAAGATAATATGACGATTACACGATAAAAGTGATAATGTTTCTCTTGTTTAAGAAGTTATTTGTGCGCAGAAATGACGGCTTAAAGTATAATCAGATTGTACATCTCTAATGCATGTCGGTCTACATTATTGCACACACATGCACGCACGCACGCACACATACACACACACACACAACACACACACACACACACACACACACACAAAATACACGTCTTTTATTATACGAATCACTTGTAGATAGCTAGTGTTACTGCATTGGAAATCATTATAATACACTTTTGCAATAATAGGTTTGACGTACGGATGCGAGTGCAGGATTACCTTGTATAAGCATACACGTGGACACAGCAGTGGCATTTATGATTAGTTCCGAAGAAGGGAGGGATTTGTATGCTACGATGTTGCGCATTAGAAACATGCATCATACCTGTTGTTTCCTACTTGAAAATTACTCTTTTTGAAACTTTATTTGTATTTGTCAATAATATATTGATCTGTTTATTATCTTACTTTTAAAATCTCGATGATAAGTATTATTTTTCATATTGCGTATCTATCTCGTTAGTAAAAATTAAAAAAAAATTGAAATAACTTTACAGTAACGTAAATGTTTAATTATTAGAAAAGTTTACTCCCTTTACTTACTATACACGAGAAGAGTTTGTTGAAACTAATAAAAGTTTTGCTCAAATGTAATGGTTATTGTTGGAAATAAACGTATATAGCTTGTAGAAAATAATTCTATGCAGTAACGCTGTTCAAACGACATTACCGATTCTGATGGAATCCTGGTTACTTGGCGCTTTAGCGCATAGAAGATGACAAATAGCGCATATGTCATAAATAATTAATCGTGCGAATGAATATTGCATACTGCATTTATGGTCACACCCGCAGGAAAATACGATCAATTTGTTTAATCGCTTATATACCCAGAAACCATAAATATGCCTCTACATATTCATGAACTGACCTAATCAGTAATTATTGAATTACTTTTTAATACCTGTATAATTGAATTGCTGCGAAGAATTTAGGAAAAAATTGCGAAAAGAAGCACATAACAATTTATTCATTATAACGAACTCTTCGGATATATTATATAATTATATATATATATATATATATAATAATTAATAGTTCGCAAATCTCGTTTTGAATAATAACAATAAAAACAATAATATCATCTTTTTCTCACTCGTTTTTTTCTATTTTTAATCAAAATTCAACATAATTCCGCCCGTTTAGAAATTAACATATGCGTATTATAATAGCAAAATTGATAATGTTTTTCCTCATCGTTGTGCAATCACTCATTTAAATTTCTTATTATGTAAATATATAGATCTCTACGGCATATGTGTGATCGCTCATCTTTTTTACGAACGATATAAACCGCTGAGAGCCAGAGGCAGTGAGTTAATACCAATTTGATAATAAAATATGGACTTAATTAGGCGCAGAGGCTTTCGCACGCCAGATAAAAATAAATAGAACGCTCAAACCCCGGGATATTGCGTATTGCCGCGAGTTTCGTTATCGGGTTATGGTAGCCGCAATAGACAGTTGTGCTTGCCAATTGAAGAAACGATCTGTTATCACTGTTGCGATGCTTGATGAGAGACACGACACGCTGTCTAGCCAGGGAATCTGAATAATGCCACCGCAAACTTTCGCGTATGCAGCTTTGTCGCGATATACAATGTGTTTTACAGTTACCGTTCGTATCTTTCCATCAGCCATTAAATACTGATTTTTTTCACCCGAAGTAATATTCGTATTTTACGTTAATACTATATCGTTTGAATTATGATTCAAATATTGTTTGCACATATCGGAAAACGAGAAAAGAGATCTGTAATTATATAAATGAATTTAATTTAATGAGATATTTATTGAAGAATTTTAAATCGAAAAGTATTCTCTTACGTACATAATTAAAATTTAATTAAAAAAGTCAATTTTATTTAAAATTCTCAATCTCTTTTAAAAATTTTTACTTTGACCATATTCCCAATAAAGCTCTTAATGAAAGTTTTATTAGATAGAATCGACCCAAAAAACGGGATTCAATTATCTGTGACCGGTATATACTTAAGTTAGGAAAGTCTTTCAATGTATTAAATATAAGTAAACTGCCTATCAAAATTCCATTAAAAGGAAATTAATTCATTTTTAAATATCTATTTATCGTGACTTGCGCAGTGTGTACACGAGGCGAGTTTTCATTCTTTACAGCGCCCCTCGTGTTAAACCGTTCTCAATTAGCGTCTGTTTAGGCACCGTGAGTCTTTTTAGAGCCAATCAGTACGCACTAAAGACTCGTAAATAGTGTCCTGTCACCGACGTCTCATCATTTTCCTCGTTACCTCTCGGCTTGTCCTTGTTGTCTGATAAATTAGACGGTACAGAGTCAGCATATACGTTAATCGCATATGAGCCCAATTTAACGTGTATCTCGTGCAAGCACGTGATGAGATGATAATGCCCGACCGTCAGCCCCGTTAAGTCGAGCCGCCAAACTGGTGAAATCTTTCGATAACTGGTACGTGACTCATAATACGTCACAAACAACTTCTTATCACGCGTCTTTAACTCGGAAATATTTTCATTTTGAATAATCGCAGTTAATATATAAATAATATTCCCTCCTTCCGCTCTATATAATAATAATAATATATAAACATCAGGTTACAAATAATTTAATCTAATTTTATACCCAACATCTGTCTAGAATATACGTGCTTAATCGCAAGAGTTTGTTACACATCTGTTGCTTTACTTGCGTATTAAAGCAATGCAAATTTTGTGACGCGACACTAACAGACTAAACGGACTGCGATGATTATGTAATTTATGACGCGATCTCTCGATTATATTCTTGAAGATACACTCCAAATCCAATCTATTGAATCTAACCTCGGATAGTCTGGTCTCAATTTGAATAAGTACTACTCTCTGATTGTTGGATTTTTCATATTTAATCTATATCTTAATATCTAATCTGTACTATATTAAACAATAAAATAAAAAGTAAAATATTAACAAACTTATCAACATGGTTTAGTGACTATTATTATTTTTGTATATATATGAAACTGGCGTGAAATAATAAAAACTATTGCAATATATCGAATTTCGAATACTGCTATTTTTATAAATACTGTCACGCTAATAATAAGATAATAAATTAATGATAATTTGCTTACATTACTATTCACACTACACGTATGTGATTTAATGCAGCATTAGCATTTATAGCATTAGAAGTATCTTTATAAAGAACCTTCAACATATTCACTACATATGTGTACTTACCTCCTGATTTACTAGCAGTCTTGAATGCACCCTGATTGTAACTGCCTTTACCCCAAGTCGATCACGTTCTATCAAACAGCCCGCATAACTATAGAAAAGAGAAAAAGAGAGAGGGATGTCACACTTTCGTACACGTGGACAAAATCGACGGCTGGATTTCAATCAACGACGAAAGAGAGTTTCGATGTTCTCTTAACTACAACTGAAGCATCTTTTCACGGTTCTCTCGTACGCGACGCTTCGAAGGATTTCATGCTGGAAAAGATTAGAAAAGTTGGAGAGCGCATGCTCTTTCGTTGAAAACAAACTTGTCTCGTTATTTTCTTGAACGAAGGAGAAGAAGATCAAGAGGAAAAGAATTAAATATTGAATTATTTACAGATGAGATGCTGTGCTCGAAGTGCTCTCATTGACGCGAAAAATTCCGCGGAGAAACTTCTTTCGAGTTAAGTTAAGAAGAAAAAGCAACAATTCAATCTGAGACTATCAATTAAGTTAAATTTCACGTTATAAATTTCATAAAAAAAAAAAATCTGTTATATAATCGTAAAAAGTCGAATTTATTAACATTAATTCTTACGATGATAGTCGATAGCGGTCTCTTGAGGGAACAAACGTCGAGAGATTCGAATAAAATTAAAAGATGGCAGCTTTAAACATGCGAACCGTCGATTCGCCAGAGTTTAACGTCGCGTCGCCTTGACCTGGCGACAACGAATTGCAAGGATAAATGCCGCCTATAAAAAGCCGTTGTTACAAATT